TGGGCATGTCACGTCACCTATGCATACCTCAGTTTCCCCATCTGTAAAATGGGGCTAATGATATTCACTGCCATTGAAGCGCTCTGAGATCTACTGATGAAAAGTGCTGTGTAAGAGCAGCTGTAAAACGGGGCCCATAGTTCTTCTTTAGTCATAAGAATGACCATACTGGGTCACATCAAAGGTCTATCTAGCCCAGTGGTTCTCAAACTTTTGTACTGGTGACCCCTTTCAAATAGCAAGCCTCGGAGTGCAACCCCCCTTCTAAATTAAAAACACTTTTTAATGTATTTAACACCATTGTAAATGCTGGATGCAAAGCGGGGTTTGGGGTGGAGGCTGACAGCTCACGACTCCATGTAATAACCTCGTGACCCCCTGAGGGATCCTGACCCCCAGTTTAAAAGCCCTGATCTAGCCCATCCTGTCTCCTGACAGTGGCCAATGCCAGGTGTCCCAGAGGGAATGAACAGAACAGGTAATCATCAAGTGATCCATCCCCTGTTGCCCATTCCCAGCTTCTGGCAAACAGAGGCTAGGGACACACTTCCTGCCCATTCTGGCTAAGAGCCATTGATGGACCTATCCTCCATGAACTTATCTAGATCTTTTTTAACCCTGTTAGTATCTTGGCCTTCACAACATCCTCTGGCAAAGATTTCAACAGGTTGACTGTGCATTGTTTATCTGTCTTATGTATTTAGCCTGTAAAGCCTTTCTGGCAGGGACTGTCTCTTATGTACCTAGCACAATGGGGCGTTGGATGTCAGCTGGGGCATCGATACTACCATAATATAAATAATACAAAAATCAAACAGCTCTCTGGACCCAACTGCCACAGCGAGCTCACAGACATTACCTTGCTCCAGAAAAAGAGAAGGGCTGCATGGAATTTTGGAGTGTAACTGTTCACCCTCTGCACCATTGACTAACCAGCCATTTTCTGTGGGAATACGGACCTTACCCCAAACCACACGTGTCTTTTGGCTGCCTTCAGTGACCTGTGGCTCAAGCTCTGATACTTTCCCCATTATTCACCTTACTGGTGCATATCTAAACTGGCGAGTAATCAGTAAAAATCAGTGGCCAGAACCCCTGTGTTTTGCAGAATGTGCAGATCTGGTTGAACGGGGCCACAAATAAACTGCCAAGGCATAACACAGGCAGGTCTGTTGGGGGAGAGGCACAAAATACATTTATTTAAAGAAATGCCCGAGGCCTAATATTTTGTTGAAACCTAAAAGGAATATGGAAACTGCCATACTGGGTAAGAGCAGTGGTTCATCTAGGGCTCAATCCTGCATCATTGAAGCCAATGGGAGTGTTGCCATTGATTTCAGTGGGAGCAGAAGCAGGCCCCAAGTCCACTTTCTGTCTGTGGCAGAGGCCTCTACCCAATGCCTGAATAAGGTGAGAAACACCAAAGTGGACAGTTTGGAAATAACTTACTCCGGGGGGAGGGGGGGGCGCAGGGAGTTTCTTCCCAGTCCCCTCGATTACATTGGTTTATACCTTGGAGCATGAAGTGTTTTAGCCTTTTCAAACGTTAGATGCTTAAAAAACAACCAACCAAAAACCAATAGGGTATGTGACTGTGGGGTGCTTTGTTAGTCAGAGAAATGGCCAATTGATAACTCCAGCTAAGCAACACCACACCGATCTCTTGTGACAGTGAGTTCCACAGACTAATCATAAGTTGTGCAAAATTGTTTCCCTCTGTCACTTTTTTGATTTGCTGCCTTTCAGTTTTTAATCAAATGTCCCCTTATTCTTGTATTTCAAGAGGGTAAATCGGAGCACCCTGACATACCTCTTCTTTACCATTCATTTAAACAATCCCAATTGTTTCATATGGAAGGCTTTCCATGCTGCTGATTAGTTTTGTTCCCCATCTTGGAATGTAATTGGAATCTATTTCTGCTCTATCTTGTTTTTACGGTGGGGTGGCCAGAGCTGACAACAGTGAGGATGAAGTAGTGATTTATAGCTCAGCATTACAATATTTCTAATATAATTCTCCATCCCAGTCCTTAACATTGTATTGTTTGACTGCCAAGGCAATGCAATGTCAGACCCAGCATTTCTGTACAACCACTCTAAGCTCTGGTTAGTTTATGTGCATATGTATTTGTTTTCAAGTAAAGCACATCACAAGCTTGCAGTTGTGGTTTTCTGAATATATTTATTCTGCGATGCTTGGAAAAGGGATATTTACAATGGGGACACAAATGATCTTCCTACCAAATAGGGCAGATTTCATGCCATCACGGTAACCAGAAACCAGTTTGCTTTTGGCATTTTGTACTGATCAGCAGGAATGCATTATCTCCCAATCATAATATCCAGCCCCAGGTGTACCATAAGTAAGAGACAAGGCAACTTCTAAATAGCTTGCCAGCAGCTGATATGGAGCAGGAATGCAGTGTCCCAACACTAAAGGGTTATACTGACATTACAGTGGCTGGTGTGCCATAAATGCTACAGATCAGACAGAACAGAGCTGCTGACACTTCTTCAAAGTGAGGAGCACATTTTATATAGGGAGTGTCTGGTGGATGGTTTTCCATTCTATTCACAATCACCTGGGGCACCTCCCCTCTTGTTTGTGTTCAGGGGGGCCTCTTCCCCTCCTAGCTATGATCCCCATGGAAGTTACAGGAATTGCTCATAAGGAAAAGTTACACCGAGGAAGTATTTAAAGTGCTTTTAGCAGGTCTTTCAATAACATTAAGCAAGTGGAAATGGAGAGGAGGTGCCAGCACCATGTAACCCGCCAGCTCTCAGCAGACCACAATGTGGGATTATCCGATCTAGATTAGACAAATTAGTATCAGGTTAGTGAAGCTCACAAATCAGTGTCACAAGGCTTTGTTTTATATACTTCTATTTATTTACAAAGTTCACAGGGGAAAATGACGTGTTCTACCAAACCCACAAACTAGCAACTATTCTTTGATCTGTTGTTAATTTAACATTTTGAAGGGCAAAAAATCAAGGGTGAGAAGTTGCTGCAAGGCAAAGGCTGTATGTGTATGGCATCCCATGAGCTAACTGGCTCCTCTGCCCCGTGGCCTTTACTCTAACCAGCCAGTGTTCCCTTTCGTTAAACTAAGGGTTTTATCTGAGAATTTTAACGCCTGGGAAGGGTTTGGGTCCAACGCTGCTTTCTGGGAGAGTCTATGCTGGAATTTTTTAGTCATGTTTTAACATGTCCACTCGTACCATTGTAAACATTAGTGTAGACAGGACACACATGTTACTACACTAAGGATACACAACCACGGTAGTTAACATGGGTTAACTAACGTGTTAAAACACAAGTAAAATTAAAGTGTAGCCATGTGATCAATTACGCTGATGTGAATGCAGCTTAACTCCATTGGTTTCAATGGAGTTGTTCCAGATTTACATCAATGTAGCTGAAAGAAGAATTTGGCTCTTCATGTATGAGCAATATGCTTTGACTCTCTGTAGATAACGATACCTTGTCTTCCTACAGCTCTGCCTGACACCACCACATTCCTCACTAAATCATCTAGTTTTAGTCTGGGTTTAAAATTTCTGGTCTCGGTCACAACTAGAAAGTTAACCTAATGTGAGCTAATTATTGCATATATTTAATAAGGAACAACACTGCTATTAAAATTATTACAGAGGATTGGTCCATATTATATAAATTAGAGACCCATTAAATTGTACAGGTCATACGTAAGGGACTGATCCTGGAAACAAGCATGCACATGAGCAACTTTACTTGAGGGAGCTTGGTGACGCTATTCATGTGAGTAAAATTACTCATGTTTGCACAATTAGACCCTAAAATCTTAAACTCCAATCTTGCAGGACACTCATATAGATGGACCCCTGCACCTGCACGGACCTCTTTGCAGTTGGGCCTAGAGGTTACAGTGGACGAGAAGCTGGATTTGAGTCAACAGTGTGCCCTTGTTGCCAAGAAGGTTAATGGCATTTTGGGCTGTATAAGTAGGGGCATTGCCAGCAGATCGAGGGACGTGATCATTCCCCTCTATTCGACATTGGTGAGTCCTCATCTGGAGTACTGTGTCCAGTTTTGGGCCCCACACTACAAGAGGGATGTGGAAAAATTGGAAAGAGTCCAGTGGAGGGCAACAAAAATGTTTAGGGGGCAGGAGCACATGACTTATGAGGAGAGGCTGAGGGAACTGGGATTGTTTAGTCTGCAGAAGAGAAGAATGAGGGAGGATTTGATAGCTGCTTTCAACTACCTGAAAGGGGGTTCCAAAGAGGATGGATCTAGACTGTTCTCAATGGTACCAGATGACAGAACAAGGAGCAATGGTCTCAAGTTGCAGTGGGGGAGGTTTAGGTTGGATATTAGGAAAAACTTTTTCACTAGGAGGGTGGTGAAGCACTGGAATGGGTTACCTAGGGAGGTGGTGGAATCTCCTTCCTTAGAGGTTTTTAAGGTCAGGCTTGACAAAGCCCTGGCTGGGATGATTTAGTTGGGAATTGGTCCTTCTTTGAGCAGGGGGTTGGACTAGATGACCTCCTGAGGTCCCTTCCAACCCTGATATTCTATGATTCTATGATTCTTATAGTTTGTAAGATCTTGTTAATGAGAAATCAATTTCAAAAGGGCAAAGGCGCTCTTGGAGGTTCCTTGGCTATCAAACCCAAACAGAACAACCTCAATATTTGGCACTGTCTCTCACACACTTTTACATAGCAATTTTTACTGATTGACATGTAATAAGTTAACAATGGGGTTTCTAGGTAATTGACGTCACCTTGCCCTTTGCTATTTTGTTGCCTTTCACTAGTTCTATGCCAGTCTCACAGTTCTAAGTTGCCTATTCATTTTCTCTGTTAACAGAACAATACAAGTATTAAGAAAAAATACAAATTATAAAACTCCACAAATAGCAAAACAAAAATCTAGTCTTTTATGACTATACTGCTAGAATTAACTGCCCTTCCTTTATAGATTATCTCTCTAGAAGTCCATCCGTGAAGCAGTCTCAGAAGGGGGTTATGTACTCTTTTTTTATGCTAGTGCTGGTCTCAGTGTAGCCACCAGTATCTCGGGTAGCACTGAAAGCCCTTTCTCCAGATCTGCGTGGGAGCAGGAGTTTGTAGACAGCTGCCCTGTATTTCTTTGAAATGAGGTTGTAGAGGATTGGGTTGATGGATGCGCTCAGATAGAAAAGCTGCAAAGCGAATATATTAAAGTACTGGGAGAAAAGCATCATGCTGGTATCCTGAGTGTTTATAAATATGATCCTGCCCACATGGAATGGCAACCAGCAAATTATAAACGCCAGAACCACCACAGCTGTAAGACAAAACAACACACACAAAATAGTTAAGGGTCAGGATTCAGACTCATTAAACCACTAACATTCTGAATGTCTAGGTACCAAAACATATAATATATTATAAGTCTGATTCTGCTCTCATTACTTCCTCTTCTTACACTAGTGTAGATCAGGAGAAACACCAGTGAAGTAATGAAGTTATATTGGTGTAAGAAAATGGGAACAGCATCACATCCATTAACTACTTTTCAGAACAAAATAAGGTAATTGGGAATCTCTCCAGCAAATTTCCTAGAGATTATTTAAACAGGGGGAAAAGTACATACTTTAGTGAATATGAAATTGTAAACTATTGTATCTTCCCTGTAATAGCAAACACAATAAAAATGAATTTATGTAACATTTTCAACTTCATTTATATAGTATGAAAACTAAGAGGAAAACCAGAATGAGGAGTGTTTTTGTAAAAGTGCACAGCAAATCTATTCTTGTCATCAATTTATTCTTTAACATAGATATGTTGAAAAGGGCTGTACTGTTATGCCTGTTCTAACACACTGCATAGTTAATGTGTTCTCTCTACTGGGCTCTTACTGTAATCTACCGTGTGCATTATTTTTAATTATTTCTATTTACAAGTTCAGGAAACATATACAATTCCTTTGTATTACTTGTGACTTTTCAAAAGATAACAACATATGGCCAGTCAATTATAGAAAAAGTTTAATGGTCCAAATTCATCCCTTGCATAATTCCACTAGTTTCAAAGGAATAACCAAGGATCAGTTTGACCCATATGTCAAAAGACACTATCAACTTGAAATTCACATTTCTGTCAGAAAACTTGGTCCTACTCTAGTTAAAAGAAATATCTAAGTTTACTACACCTGAAAGAAGTTTGCAAACACATATTTTTCTCTAGTGGTTTTAGTTTCTTTGCTTTGTGCAACTGACAGCGCTCTGTATGTAGTCAGTTTCTCTCTTGTTAAAAGAGCTTTACATATGGCAACAGAGACAGAAAAACCTTCTGAAAAACATTGGCCCATAATGTATAAATGATGCTCAATCAACAACTGGAATCTTTTAAAATTAGCCAATATATTACAAAAATTAACACTGGCAATGTTAATTCAACTCTATAACTGTTAAGAACCTAAAACTAACTGTGTCAATGCATGTAAATAACTGAATTGTTTAACAAGATCTTGTTAATGAGAAATCAATTTCAAAAGGGCAAAGTCTAAAATCTATTGTATAAATTTTTCTCTAAGCACTTATATCACAGTTATCACAGAGTATTTTAGTATCTCCTCTGCTTGCAAATAAATGTTATGCATTCCTGCAAGCATGGCTTTGTGGTCTAATCAATATTTTCTAAATACATAGACAGCTGGGAGCCACATGTTCAAATACCGGCAGGGTCCGTTCAGCCCTTTGTATTTCTCCTGTAGCTGTCTGATACAAAATCGGTGTGTTAGTTGAAGCCTTAGAAGTTAAGGAATGAAAATCAGTACCATTGAAGTCAATGGGAGTATCACCATTGACTTCAATGGAGCCAGGGTTTCATCACAAGTCGTCTTTGCTGCATGGGCCCATCATGATTTGTTAGCCCTTTTCACAAACATGCACCTGACCCCAAATTCTCCATTCCTTTGCTGCCAGCCTGGTTATCCACCTCTGAAACGGCTGAATTTCAGTGGTGCTACATAGATAAAGTTAGTGAAGTTAGTTAGCTGTTAGGAAGTATTTTAGGTAGTAGATATCCCAAATATTATTTAAAATTAAATATTATAACCAAGTGCATTTGGGGAGTGGCCCCTCCAAAGCAGTGCTGACGACTATGGTGCACGCAAATGTATGAAAGCAAGATTTAGCAAGTACACCAGAAAAATCTGCTAACAGGGAAACCAATTAGGCAAGGGAAAAAATCTCCCCAGGGAAGAGGCAGAAGCCTGATTATTAGAGTAATTTTAAACTGGACAAAGCTTTGGAGAGAGCATGAACCTCACCTACTGCTAGACATTGGCCGAGTACATCTATAGGGACCAGTGGTGGCTTGCTGAGGTCAGAGGTCACCAGGCCCCACTGAGCAGTTTGACCTAAGGGATTTTTCCACCTCTGATGTCCCTGCTCTCAGACACATCCCTGCTGAAATCGGTGGGGTGCAGACACTGGCCGAATTGTGCCCTATGAGGTTCTCAGTCCTCTTCACTCTGCAGTTCACCCTGGAGCCACCCTGCAGAGGTGGGCTGTGGGGAGGGTGCCAGGTTGCCTTGGTCTGTACACTGCTGATCGAGCCCAGCCTAGAGGGAGCTGGGCGGTACCTGGGGATGGAGTGAGGGAAGGGGCCGATTCCCTGGGACTCACCCAGGATCCTGATGGTCTGTCTGTGCCCCTTCTCCCTGAGGGCTGCGTTGGGGCCCTGGGGCCGGACCTTGCTCCTCCACAGCGCCCTGCCGATGAGGCCGTAGAGCACGTTGAGGCAGAGGACGGGCAGGATGAAGTAGCTGGTGGTGACCCACAACATGATGCCCAGCAGGCCGGACTCGGTGGCCAGCGGCGTGAGCCGGCACTCGCGGCTGAAGTCGGTCTGGTTGTCCCGCTGCTCCACGCCCACCAGGAAGAAGAAGGGCCCGGCCGAGAGCAGGGCGAAGGCCCACAGGGTCCCGATCACCGCTTTGACCCGGCGCTTGGTGATCACCACCTTGGCCTTGAGCGGGAAGCAGATGGCCAGGTAGCGCTCCACGGTGAGCGCCGTGATGTGCAGGATGGTGCAGTAGGTGCAGGCCTCGCTCAGGTAGTAGGAGAGGCGGCAGAGCAGCTGGCCGAAGATCCAGGGCCGGGAGCGCCAGAGGCGGTAGAGGTCGAAGGGCAGCCCCAGCAGGATGAGCAGGTCGGACACGGCCATGCTGCCCAGGTACAGGTTGGTGGTGGTCTTCAGCTCCCGGCAGCGCCGCAGGATCAGCACGGTCAGCACGTTCCCCGCCACCCCCACCAGGAAGAGGCCGAGGCACACGGCGGTGACCGGGATGAGCGCGGGCAGCGGCAGGGAGCTGCAGAGGCGCTCGTCGCACGGGGACCCCGCCCACGCCTCGCCCTCCACCCTCAGCGCGCTGCTGTTCTCGCAGCCGCCCCCCATGGCGCCGGCCGCTGCGGCTAAGCCCGGGGCTGGAGCTGGGGCTCGGGGGCGCTGCCCGGAGGAGCTGGGAGAGAGGCGCCCTGGCCGCAGCCCATGGTGGGCAGCGAGCGCCCCGCTGCCAGGGCTGGGCCCCGCTCCGCCCGGACTGTTCTTCTGCGGCCGGGGGCAGAGCTAGGAGCTGCCGCCGCTCCGAGGCGTGGGTCGGGCTGAACTCGGCGCCACTGTCCCCTCCGCTCCCCGCGGAGCTTATATGGCTCCTGCTTCAGAGCAGACGTTTTTCAAAGTCTAATCTAATGACTGGCCCCAGCACATCGGAAGCCCATTTTTCACTGCTGGGAAGTGACAGCGAAAGCCAGGACAGCCCCAAGCGTGCACCTGTCGCCAGCAGTTTTTGCTTTAAAGAGCTCCGTCGAGTCAGGAATCAGCGCCCCGCCTAGGCTTAAGAGGAAAAGTACTAGTCAGACCTGGGCAGTCGTGCTTTAGAAACCGAACTGAACCATGGCTTTTAAGGTCGAGTTTTTCGTTCTTTCTTTTAAACTCAGCATGAATTGAACATCACGTTCCAACAAATCTCAAAACGAACCGAGTGGAAACGATTGATTTTCTCCTGCTTTCAGCCAAAACCTTGAATTTTGGATGCGGTCACAATGTTGCGCTGGTATATACACAACTACATTTTAGAATCTGAAAGATCCGGTTAAAAGTTGCAGTCCCTGCTTTGACCTTACTCTCACAAAATTCCCTGTAGAAGTTTTGCCTAAACAGGGGCTGCAGTTCCCTATGACAAAAATAGATTTAAAAGAGCTTGTATGAATGGATCATGTGGAAAAATAGATAATTTTCTTCTGGGCAAGAATTAGCTTTTTGCACTGTAACTGCTATTTTAAATCACTGCTTCTTAGTCTTCTTGCACTAACTTCTTGTACTGCATAAAGTAGGCTATATGCAATATTTAGGAACTATGGAATATTGTTCAATGAAATTGTGATTTTCAAATCAGCGTTTACATTTAATACCCATTCCTTTCTTCACTAACAAAACAATATGGTTATGAAAGCAATAAGGAAAAATAATTTACAGGAGAGCAAAGCTAAGTTTTAAGAAAGACACTTAGTATAGCAATGAGGAATTTGCCTAATCTCCCTATCAGACTGATGTCTGAGACAGTGTCTGGTCACACTCATCTTGTCATAAAATAGACAGAATGCTTAAAACCTTGCAAAAGGAGGAGAATACTATTTTACATGAATTGTTGTCTCATTAAAAACTATGTCTGTCTGCCAGAAAAGTGGGGAAGTCCAGGAATAGTTCAGTTATATCCAAAGATCAATTAACAAACATGGAAAAAGAATGATACTTTTATTTTCCACACATTTTAAAGATACTTTTGCTACATAGTTTGTGTATATTTCTATGAGATTATACATTTTTCATCTGTATGAAGTCCAACATTATACAAGTTTAAAGTGATATGTTTGGTACTGTATCTATAACGTTTTAAAAAGTTTAGAGTTTTTTTGGAATGTACAGTATATGAGGTAAAATTAAGATTACATTAAAAACCATCTTCACTGCAGTAATCTGCACTGAGGTTCAAATGGCAAATACACTATTAAATGACATTTACTATCAAAAATAGGAGTTCATTTGAATTTTACTATGAAAAACATAAGCCACTGCAGTTTAACTGTAGTGACAAATCTTACCATTTTAGACATTCAACCATACAGAAATCTCTGGGCTATTACACTCAATCTCATTTGTACTGCCGAACATGGCACTTTAAGAAGGTTCTAGAAAATATCTGCTGTCACTGTATTTTGTGGGAAGATATTAGCCTCTACATAAAAGTGACAAATTTAAAATAAAATGTAAACATACAGTACATTTTAAAGACAGATCATTCTTACCACTTGAGGGCCAAGTTCTTATCCATTTCTTTTTTTAAAACAAAACTCAACAACATTATTCTACAGCACAGATCATTGGACGTAGAAACAATTACAATACATGCCCGTTCTAATATAAGAGAAATTCTTCAGAGATCTTCAAAACACAAGACAGAGGTTCTTTTTATTATTATTTTAAGACTGACAGAAGTGCTTAATACCATTAAAAATGCTAAATCCAACACAAGTAGAAGTCATTAGTGATCCACTATCTTGTAACTGAAATAAATTAAAGCTAATTACAAAATGGATAACAGATAATGTAAGTGTGATGAGACAAGAATTTTTTTAAGATAGTTTCACTACAAGCTTTATGTAATTGGCAGTTATTGACATCTGGCAAGATGTTCCACGGGCTACTTGATAAAGTTAAATCTGGTCATTCAAGAACTCACAAATGCAAGCTCACAAAACATTGATGAATTATGCAATTGCAAAGTGCTCTAATGCAACATTAACTACATGCAATCAACAATTTGGTACAGTATCCAAAGAGACATTACATTAAACGTTAGGTTCTCAGGAAAAAGAAGGTTGAAGTTTTCTGGTGCAAATTATTACACTCCCCCCTTCGCCCGATTTGGTGCCCCAAAGAACAAAGGCAGTGCTTCATTCCGGTGGCCACGGCAAGTGAATGTAGGGGTAACAGCAAAAATTATGGTTATCCAAGAAAATTTATACACATTATCAATAGAGGGCACATATATCTATATAAACAGCACCCAATCAAATAAAGGTCTTATTTCAAAAATGATTTTTAACTTACTTCTTTATAGTGTTAGATCAAAAAAGCTCTCTCTCTTCCATGTCTGTAGGAAGCTAAAGAGGCATTTTTATGAGTAAACATATCGGGGCCAAGATAAACCACTTGTGCCATATCTTTTTAGTCTTACAAAATGTATATTTGCAGTGGAAAACTCTACATTTCGATAAGAATCTTCTTTCATGCATTCACTTCCATCCAGTTTACTGCCTGAGAAAAGCCCCTTCTATTTTCATCATAATCCTGCTTCCCAAATAATTAAGAGAAATGAGGAGGTAGAAATACAGCGCTAGATTGCTTTCACAGCATCAGACTAACATTTTATACAGCACAAGTTTGTTAGTGTAACTTTTAAATACATTTTACTCATTTCCCCCTCCCCCCCTTATGGTACTAATCCTTAAAAATGTGGACCAGGTTACCATTATTACGCTCCTGCTTATTGGTCATAACCTTATAATGATACATTGCTTGCCTTATATAAAGTTTGTACTGCAAGAAGGCATGTTAAAGGAAATATTTCTGTGGCTTGCATTCTATAATCTGTGCCAGCGTCTACTTAATAAGCATTTTAAGTGGCTGAAAAGATGTGCTACAGTCCCAATGCTGATGCTAAATGCCTGTTTTTGTAAAAGCAAGAGAACAGAAATATTTTTAGAATATGAGAATGTAAAATGTAATGGGCAGCATTCTAAAAGAAAATGGTTTTTCTCACTTTATTACAAAGTACTGAATGATAAAGGCAATCAGAATGGAAAAGGTGGCAAAGAGCACAAGGATGACAGCAGCACACTGTTCATCACTTAGTGTCTGTTGTGTCCTTGAGATTTCCACAGTGTCTTTGTTGGTGCTGGTTGGTGGTTCAGTTCTCTGAGAGATGAATAGTACTGTGGTACTGTAGGGGCCTATCAGGTCCTGATGACCTACTGTTTCTTGGCACTGTCGAATGGCACACACACGAAAACGATATTCACAGTTCAGCTGGAGGCCTGAATACCGGAATGACCAGTCAGGCCCTTTATAAATCTGTCAAGAAAAAAAATAAAATAAAAATAAACAAAAACACTTCTAGTAAACAGGCACATTGTGTTTACTGTAAAAATTTTAACAAAATGTCATACCTATAGTTTAATACAGGGATCGGTAACCTTTGGCACGCGGCTCGCCAGGGTAAGCCCCCTGGCGGGCCGGGCCAGTTTGTTTACCTGCCGCGTCCGCAGGTTCGGCCGATCGTGGTTCCCACTGGCCGCAGTTCGCCGTCCCAGGCCAATGGGGGTGGCGGGAAGCGGCAGCAGCCCCCATTGGCCTGGGACGGTGAACCACTGCCAGTGGGAGTCGCAATCGTCCGAACCTGCAGATGTGGCAGGTAAACAAACCGGCCCGGCCCGCCAGGGGGTTTACCCTGGCGAGCTGCGTGCCAAAGGTTGCCGATCCCTGGTTTAATATGTCTCTATGTTTACTGTTGAAGTTATTGTGAAAATAGCAAGTGCTACTTAATCACCTGTGTTTTCAATGACATTCTTCTAGCCATATAGGCAGAAAAAATTAACAAAGATTAAGGAAAAGAACTTTAATGCCTAATTAAATCCAGTCTTTTGGTAAAATATGTAGCATTACAAACTCCACTAGATCATAACTTGCAAAGCACCAAATTTAGCTCCTGTAAGAAGCCTTCACTTTAAGTAAACATTTTAAGTGTCAAATTTGATGTAAATCTCATTGTCTCACAATGGGTTTCTAGGTGATTAATTAGATGTCAGATTGTACACAGTGTTGTTGTAGCCGTGTCAGTTCCAGGATATTAGAGAGAAGAGGCAGGTGAGGTAATATCTTTTATTGGACCAACTTCTGTTGATGGATATTAGAGAGACAAGCTTTTGAGCTACTCGGAGCCCTTCCTCAGCTCTTCATTCACATTGTTCCTTAATCCGAGGAAGAACTCCGAGTACCTCAAAAGCTTGTCTCCCTAATAGCCACCAACAGAAGTTGGTCCAAGAAAAGATATTACCTCACCCGCCTTGTCTCTAGATGTCAGATTACCATATTCATCAATTCTAACCAAATCCAACACATTTTTGCTATACTTATGCTACACTCTCTTAAAAAGACCACCATAAATTCTCCCAGCAAACTTTGGATCCAATAAAGAGCCTCGAATAGGGCCGGATTTGGGGGCAGGTGATCGCCTGGGGTGCCATTTTTGTTGTTATCATGAATAAATACAGATTTACAGATCCTAGCATGCATATTTATCGTCTTATATGTGAGGGCTAAATCATGCATCAGAG